CCCCCAGAGACCCGGCGCGGCCACGACGCGAAGAGCGGCGCCCAGGACGGGCCGATGTACAGGAAGCAGATGTGTGGCAGGCCTGGGGGGGCATCCAAGAGGGGAGTGATGGCCAGGGTGAATCAGTCGGGCATGTCCCTCTACAGGAGGAAGATTCGCGAATGGTCAAAAAGTAGCCTGGGGACGATTTTTCGTGCTCCTTGGGCTATTCGTCTGTTGTTTTTGTGTTCGGGCTATTGTTTGATCTTTTATCTTCCCTCCAAAATCCGCCTGCAGGAGGACATGCCCGACCTAGGGCTGGGGGGGTCTCATGGCCGGGGCCATGACGCCTCCCAGAGTTCCTATGGCCGCCTTGTTTCTTCCAAACGTTTCCTGGCCCCCCCCAACGTCCGCGCCTGTGTCTCGGACCATGGTGCGCCGCACCCCCCCTCTTCCCCCCCCTTCGGCTCTATGGGCCTCCTTTCGGTGGGGTCGGAGTAGTTACTTAGATGGGGTCGGAGGGTGCAGCGCTGCACCGCCGACGCATCGACGAGGCGGCTCGATGCGGAGGCCGTGTTTTCCCCTCGCCGATGTGTCGGCGATGCGGCGCGATCCTCCGACCCCATCTACTCGGACCCCACCTAGGAGGCATGTAATTTCATGGCCCCCTTTTTTCCTCCATGCGTTTTCTGCCCCCCCCCCTCGTCCGCGCGCGTGTCTCGGACCATGGTGCGCCGCCCCCTGAGATCCTGGCGCTGCAAGTTTTACACAACCGGCGTCTTCGCTCCATTGCGGGCCCCAGGTCCCTCACAGATCGATGCGGCTCGAAAGATGCTGCAGAAAGATGGGGTGCGTGATTTTGCACGATGCTGCAAGAGACTGTTTTTTTAGGGTCTGGCGATAACTCGGGTTATCGGGCTTGCCCCCTCCCCCCCAGGATAACCAGGATAACCTAACATTGCCAGTTGTGCAGGTCCGCGGGAGGGGCGGCGCGGACATATGCAGGGCTGCCCCTGGCGCGAGTGTTAGGTTACTGGCCAGCCCCCTCCCCCCCCCCTGGGATCCCCCCCTCTTCCCCCTCTGTCGGCGCACCCTGCAGGCGGGCCCGGCTGCCTCCTCTTTGGCGTGAGCCGGCTTCGGCCCCCGAGGGGATGAGGCCGAGAGATTGCCGCCGGCTGCAGCCCTTCGGATAGGGTCCGCAGCAGGCACCCGCACACCGCCACCGTGCCTGGCCGGGGCCCTGCTTCGGGGGACGAAGTCTATACATATCCACTGCTCCCTGGCCAGGCCCATCCTGAACCCAGGAGCTGTGTATACGCCCTCCTGGCCAAACCAGGAGGGCGTGGCGTATACACAGCTGCTGTGTTCAGGAGGGGCCTGGCCAGGGAGCAGTGGATATGTATAGATTGCGTCGCCCTACTGCTGGGACCCACGCTCGGCGGCGAGCGAGGGGGGGAGGGTCGAACTTCGAGGTTCGAGGCGGTTTTTCATGGTGTTCGGCCTCTGGTGGCTGTCTTTGGGCCCCGGGAGCCTTCAAACTCGATCCAGGGTGGAAAACCGCGTCGGGTGGACCCTGGGAGGGGTCCTGGGACCGATTTTGACCGATCTTTGGCGGCGAGCGAAGGTGGGGGGGGGGGGGGGGAAAGCGAGAAGGAGAAGGCCCTCTCAGAAGGCGGCGGGACTTCTCAGAAGCACCCGCCCGCGCCTTCCGAGAGGTCTTCTCCTGCCTCCGGGGAAGGCTCAGAACGCTTCTCGGCAGGCCGGGGGACCTCCGAGGGCCCTCTGTGCAGGCCCGGCCCTTCTCGCTGCCCCCCCCCCCAACCTCGCTCGCCGCCGACGCGCCGGTGCGCACGTGCGGCCTCCGGGGCCGAGGAGGGCGCAGGCGCCATCGTGGGGCCCGGGCGGGCGCGCCGTGGCCAGGCGCGGTGGTGTCCGCGTGGCTGCCCGCTGCGCGTGGGGGTCCGCGCGGGTCGTGGTTTTTTTTTTTTTTTTTTTTTTTTTTTTTTTTTTTTTTTTTTTTTTTTGTTTTTTTTTGTTTTTTGGATTTTTTGCTGCTCTGGTCAAGGTCAGGTCGGGCGTGCCCCTGGACGGGAGGAGCAACCTCAAGAGCAGCGGAAGCACAGTCCTGGGACGATGTCTCTTGACTACGTTTGGCTACTCGTGAGCATGTCTAGACTTTTCTTTTTGTTTTCTTTCATTTTTCGTCCAGGATCCGCCTGTATGGGGGACATGCCCGATCTGATGGTGATGCCTCCTGGGGGCGTGCGCGTCGTGCGAGGAGAGCGCGCGGCCCCGCAGGGCCGAGGCTCCCAGGCCTTGCTCCCGAGAGACGCCCCCGGGCTCCCCGTGCCCTGCGCGGGGCGACCGGGATCGGCACAGGCAGCCCGCACAGCGGGGGTGTGGGCGGCCTTCCCGAGGGTGCCCGAAGGATTGCAAAAAAACGAAGGATTGCAAAAATACCCTTGAACGAAGGATTGCAAAACAAAAAAACCGTTGCAATCCTTCGGGTTTTGCAAAAAAACCCTTCGTTGGATTGCAAAAAAACCCTTCGGGTTTTGCAAAAAAACCGTTGCAATCCTTCGTTGCAATCCTTCGGGTTTTTTTGCATCCCCTGCCCCCTCGGCCCCTTCTTGGCGACTCTCGCTGGCCGTGGCCAGCGCGAGTCTCGTCGGGAGGCCGCTGACGTGGCCCTCCAGGGCCCCTGCATCCTCACCACGCACCCCTGTGATGCGGGCTGGCTGTGCGGAAAGAGTGGGCACAGAGACCAGCAGCAGTCCCTGTCCGTTTTGAGCTGGAATCGCTGTCGGTGCCGCCGCGGACGTTGTCCATATTTGGGACAGAAGGCTGCCTACACAGCAGCGGCCGCTGTCGGTTTTGTGCAACACTTGCCGATGAGCGTTGTGCCCATTTTTTCCGCACCCATCTCGGTCGTCCAGACCCAGACATGCGACGTCCTGATTTTGTTCAGTGCGCGGCCCCTGGAGGTTGTGACCCTCTCCCCGGGAGCGGTCCTTCATCCCGTGGGTCGTTTGTGGACGGTGCCAGGGCGAGGGCCCCCCCGAGGCCGAAAAAGTAGGGAAAAGCCTCCCGTCGCGACTATTTTTAAATGGACGCGAGCATGTCTGGGATTTGGCGCCCTTCAGCAGCAGCGTGGAGCACAGATCCAGGCCTCCCAGATGGGGCCCGAGCAGAGGGGGTCGGAGGATCGCGCCGCACTGCCGATGCATCGGCGATGCGGCTCGCCGTAGAGCCCGACTTCTCCACGGCGACGGCGCCGGTGCACCGCCGACGTCGCCGATGCGTGGCTGATGCATCGTCGATGCACCGCCGATGCATCGGCGGGGCATCGCCGACGCGGCGCGGTCCTCTGGCCCCATCCGCTCGGACCCCATCTGGGAGGCCTCCAACACAGCGCCCACCACGGCCGCGGCCTCGGCGCAGGGCCGGCCGAGAGACAGCGGCGGCCCTCCCGCGGCCTCGGCGCCTCTCCTCGGCATCGCTCGGGCGTGTGCATGCTTGGGGGGCGAGGGCCATCGAGGAACATCCTGGGCCATCTTGCGAAACATACGCACGCGACATCGAAAACACAATCGCATGAGCACGTTTGTTTTCCCTGGCCAGCTTCGCGTGGCCTGGGGCCTGGGGCAGGTCCCTTTCTAGAGCGCGTTGAGGTACTGCTGCCCCGTGCGCGTGGGAGGCGCGCACTCTGTGGTCCACTTGCCAGTCGAGCGGAAGTGGTCTGCGCCCAGACCGCCGAGCCTCGGGCAGACGAAACACACACACAAACACACACACACACGCACAGCCATACAAATACACACATACACATACACACACACACACACGCAGGTACATACACACATACACACACATACAAACATACACACATACACATACACACATACACACATACATACATACACACATACACATACACACATACACATACATACATACACACACATACCTACCTACCTACCTACCTACCTACCTACCTACCTACCTACCTACCTACCTACCTACATGCACTCACGCACGCACGCACGCACGCACGCACGCACGCACGCACGCACGCACGCACGCACGCACGCACGCACGCCACGCCACGCACGCACGCCACGCACGCCACGCACGCCACGCCCGCCACGCACGCCACGCACGCCACGCACGCCACGCACGCCACGCACGCCACGCACGCCACGCACGCCACGCACGCGCACGCACGCCACGCACGCCACGCACGCCACGCACGCCACGCACGCCACGCACGCCGCGCACGCCGCGCACGCCACGCACGCCACGCACGCCGCGCACGCCACGCACGCCAACGCACGCCACGCACGCCACGCACGCCACGCCACGCCACGGCACCGCACGGCACCGCACGGCACCGCACGGCACCGCACGGCACCGCACGGCACCGCACGGCACCGCACGGCACTCACCGCACGCACCGCATGCACCGCACGCACCGCACGCACCGCACGCACCGCACGCACCGCGCGCACGGCACGCACCGCGCGCACGGCACGCACCGCGCGCACGGCACGCACGGCACGCACGGCACGCACGGCACGCACGGCACGCACGGCACGCACGGCACGCACGGCACGCACGGCACGCCCGCGGCACGCACGGCACGCACGGCACGCACGGCACGCACGGCACGCACGGCACGCACGGCACGCACCGCACGCACGCACGCATGCACGCACACACGCACACACACGCACACACACGCACACACACGCACACACACACGCACACACACGCACACACACGCGCACACACACGCACACACACGCGCACACACATTCACACACAAACACACACACGAAATCGAAAAACGCACGGGGAATGGACGTCCGAGCGATGGCGAGTCTCGCCCCCCCCCCTCTCTGCTGCAGGGCCTCTCCCGGCGGCTTCCCGCGTGGCCGGGGCCGCCGCGGAAAGCCGGCCAGTGAACGGGCCCCGCGAGGAGTCCGGGGACCCAGACCCCCTCGGCCAGCGGCAAAAAACAC